TAGGGTTTCTCCAACTAGTATTTGATGATTTTTATGTTAATATTTTTATCCTGAAAGAATGAAATTTTTTAATTTACTCTGTTGCATGATAATTCACGATGGTATTTTTAATGAGACATTTTAGAATAAGACTGGTTTTCAACAATAAGCTTAAAAACCCTAAACAGACTGGGGGGGGGGGGCGTTAGGCACCCACTTGTAGTTTTGTTGTCCCAGCACTCTTATTTTTGACACTATCACCGTGAAATTTTGTGACTTTTAATGAATAGTAATTTGAAGGATTTTTTGTTAATAAAATATTTTTTCAATTTATAGGGTAGGGTACAAGGTGGAAAAAAGTCCGTCCTGTGAAAAAAATCTAAAAAAGCCCATAACTTTTTTGTGACTAAAGCTATAGTTTTGAAATGCCCTTATTTTCTACCCTCCCTAGCACCCAAACTATTAAAGCTATCGGTCTAATTTTTTTCTTTGAGCTGGCCTTAAAAAATTGGGCTATGAACATGCATTTCAACCCTAGAACTAGGGAGGGGGGGCACCAAACGCCCCCTCCCCAGACTACACATAGATTCAGACCCCCTAGCCTGTATAGGGTTAAACATCAATGTTACGATTGAATAAAAACAAGAAAAATGAAAATTTAAAATTCAATTTTAATTGTTTTGAAAATTTGTAATTTAAAATTTTAAATATGACTTGTGATGAATAAAATTAGATATTTATTAAGTTCTCGTATTCAGTATTTATTAACTATAGTTGATAGAATACTTTTGTGATAAATATTTCAGATATTTCAAGTCAAATTTTATATTAATTTAGTCTTTCATTGTTTTTTTTTTCAGAAACTATTTTTGTAATTTCGAATGTTGTTTTATTTAATGAAAGGCGGGTCCGATTTACAAGGGTAAAACTTCTAATAGCATCGTGTTTTCTAGCTTCAACATTGTTTCATTCTGGAATTTTCCTTTATATTGTTTCAAAAGCAGTAATGCGCAAATCACATTATATAGAAACCACAAATAAAAATAATCAAGTTTCAAAGAGAAGATGATTAAGTGCTAAAGGGTTACAAATATATTGAGATTAAAAATAATAGTTTTTGGAAAAAATTCACTTTATTTCAGAATGAATTTTCAGGATATAAATATATTTTGATCCGAAAACGTTATTTAAAATGACGATTTTCTTGCCAGGTTGAAATTGCCAAATAGAACCAGTTTTTATATATTTAAAGTTAATTGTATAATTCACTGATGTAAGCGAAAAATACATCAGCATTAGTATCTACAATTTCGTATTGATTTCAGACATGTTTAAATCGTAAAAGCCTATTGCTAGTTCAACAAAATAGAGTATATATCTGACTTTTGAGACTAAAAAATCCACAAAGCTGTTTTTTTTTGGCATTTAAACTATGCAACAAAACAATTTGACAGAATTTAGCAGCTTTAGACGCATACTGATTTTTTAAGTTTTACAAATTGGCAAAATCTCAAAAAGAAAATTACAAAAAGTTAATTAAATTTTTTATTGTCATTAATTATGATTGATGTATAATTTTACTCTACATCGTGATTTTAAAGCAGTAAAAGTTTTAACTAAAAGTTTTAGTTTAAATTAATAAATGAACACTCAGGCCTGGAGGACTAAACCACCTTTTAAATGATTAACAAAGTTTTAATCAATATTAAAAGTTTAAAGATGAATACAAGTGAATAAATTAAAGGAAAGGTTGACGTAATTTCTAATGACCCTGCATTTGTTGCAGGGTCATTAGGGTCCATTAAAATCTGCGCAAAAAGATTATGCTATACCCGTAATTAACCTTTCACTCTGAAAATAGATAGTTTTCATTTGCGGTTTTTTGACTTGCGGAGTTAAATACAGCAGAGACGATTATTGAAGAAGTTAAAAAATGTATATCTTTTCAACACAGAGCATCGACGATATCTTCCTGTTAAACCCGAAAAAACTAGAAAAATTGAGAATGCCTTGAAATAATGTCACTAGTCTCTTTAATGCTATATGGAACCATTACGATGAATATCTACTGAAAATGGATGTTTTGTAAACACTGTTAACGCTCTAAACTACACAAGTTTGTAAATTTAAAAGTATTTGCCAAACCTTTAAAGAACATTTTAGTCTGGAGACAGGGGCGGAAACAGGATTTAAGTGAGGGGGGGGGGCAAGATGTTTTAGGAACAAAAAATTCATAATTAGGAACAAAAAATCGCGCCGCAGTGGAAAATTTTTTTGACTTAAAAGGCTCAAAAAGAGTCAAAATTAATGACTAAAGACTAAAAAACTAGGTTTTTAACTTTTAAGCATGCTATTGAGAAGCTATTCTGAAAATAGGAACAAAAAATTCCAAATTTAGGGGGGGGCGAATGTCCCCCCCCCCCTGTATCCGCCCCTGTCTGGAGAAAACTTAATAGAATACAAGATCAGTTTCATAAAACCTTTGTGTGACTATGTCTTGTGTTTTATCTAATGTGTCCGAAGGGGGGGGGGGGGGGGGGAGGGGATTATTCAAGTTTTTTTTAAAGGGAAGATTAATAATAAGCAGAGAAGAAAGAGAGATACTAAACTAATAAACAAAAGAGGAGACTAAAGTAAGTGAGACTAAAATAATTATTAAGAAAGTTCAATTGTTTGAAAGAATGAATCAAAAATTGGTTTGAAAAAAAGTAATCAAATTAATGATTTTGGAAAAAGAACTAATCAAAAGGCAACCAAAAAATGATAAAAATGCATTATTTTGTTAATAAAAAATACCTGTTGTTTCTTTGTTGCAGTTATGAATGATATCTTCCTCTTGAATGAGAATAGAAATGAAAACTTGTACACAGCAAAACACGATAGAGATAATAGGTTGCATCATAGTATCAATAAAACATAATAGAGATAAAAGGTTGCATCATAGTATCAATAAAACATAATAGAGATAAAAGGTTGCATCATAGTATCAATAAAACATAATAGAGATAAAAGGTTGCATCAAAGTATCAATAAAACATGATAGAGATAAGAGGTTGCATCATAGTATCAATGAAACATTTCATCCAAATATATTACAAGGTAGAATTTCGAAGATAAGCAACCATTTTATATTTGACCCCAATTGTCATATGTATCTTCTAAAATATCAAAATTAGCAGATAAAAGGTTGCATCATAGTATCAAAAAACATTTCATCTCAATATCTAAGTATTTGTAATACTGAGCATCTTCTCTTTGTACAGTATAAAACAAAACCAAAAAAAGTTTGCAGATTTCATAATATTTTTTCGCGCATTTTCAAAATTTTATAAAAATAAAAAAAATTTAAGCACACATTTTAAATTTTGATCATTCATAAACCTTCCATGGGGTCACGTGAGGTCCCACACAAAATTTGGGCCCGTTTGACGTTTATTGGATGCAAACAAACAAACAGACAGACAGACAGACAAGCCAAATTTATATAAAAATTAAGAGTTTTTTTTACTATTGTTTATTTTAATTTATTTCGATTTCCATATCAGCTTAAAGCTGTTCAAGTTCTTTGAATTAAAATCCTGAACTTTTAATCTAAATATCTAAAGTCTGCTCAGGCTTCGAAAGGAATTTATGTAAAAATATGAAAAAGTGCATCTGGACTTTTTTTCAGATGTCTTATGATTTAAACAACTTATCTAATTTATTAAAAGATTTATTATTTCTAACCGAGGAACCCCTTGATATTTCTAACCGAGGAACCCCTTGATATTTCATGATATAAAGATACTTTACAAAGAAAAGGTTTATGTTTGGTCGAAAACTTAATCACTTAAAATATTTAGATTGAAATTATTTTTCTTAGAATTCTGCCGATGTGAACAAAAAATTCGTGAAATATTTTAGATTTTTGATTTCACGATAATCACGAAACCTTTTGTAATACTTTTATATTCACGCAACCTCGCAAGAGTCCTGAAATCCAACTTAACAATTATTATAATAATAATTTTTATTTTGCATAATAAAAAATATGTGTTAATCCATTTTTCTCTGGTTGGTCAATACTTTTTGGGGAGCTATGCAATCATTTTATTTGATCTGGGACCAGATTCATTGAATAGAAGAAGTAGCTTAACTAGATAGAAGTGGTTCAACCACTTCTCTTCAGCTTTAGTGAACTACGTGTGCACGGTTCAGCCACTTCACGCTATTTATGAAATCAAATTTTAGTCTTAATATAGTAGCACTTCCACAACGTACGCTATAGATATCATAAATGGCTAAACATTTTACACCCCAACAGTGAAACCCAAATTCACTTTGGAGGACGACATTCAAGCAATCTTGTGAGTAATTGATGTTGTTATATAGTTAATCATAGTTATTTCCGCCGTTTACCCGCATCACTTGCTATTCAGGCATGGTTTTAACTCAAGTGCCCGGTGTTGCCTGTGGAATTTCAAAAATGGTCTAAAATATTTTGCCTTTTTACCCACGGGAAGCCCAAGTGTTTCCTAAAATAATGGATCAGCCAATTTGGTCCAGTCGTTATGAAAAAATCGATTTTCTTTTAGCCTTTAACACCCCCCGGCCACCCATGAGTGTCCACAAAAATGTTAGCCCAATCGGTCCAGCCGATGAATGTCTTGTATTATTATATATATTGTATTATTATATATATATGCGAAGAGCCGAAGATCTTTCTTTTAGAAAATTTTACCAGTGGCTTGAATATCGAACTAACGTGGAATTGTGTACACTGCACAGTGAACATTGCTGTATTCCAAGATCCTGGTAAATTTAAGATCATAATTTAGTAATCCCTTTCCTATTCCAAGTTTAAGGGTCTTGCACTGTATATAAATTTGACGCGTGGCTTGCAAAATAAAACCCTTTACTAGCCAAATATAACCTTTAATTTACCATGTTGACATGTTCAAACAAAAATCTAGATTTACAGTGATTAATGAATCACGACATCAGTTCTACTTTCATTAAATTAAATTTATGTAATAAATAAAACAGCTTATTAATTTTATTTTCGAAGAATACATTTTTTAGTTAGAAACAAAAAGAAACTATTATCATATTAAAAATCACATGAAGATAAGAGCAGGGTAAAAAATACAAGAAATAAAAAAGGAAAAATTATAATAGCATTTAAATGATTTTTTATCCCTTGAGGAATGAGGCCACATTATTTTCATTCCTCGTTCTTCAACAATTACATTATTTTTTTATTGTCCCGGCTGGTTTTACATTTTATTGCCCCGGCTGATTTTGAGTCGACACTATAAAGTGAGGTTTAAATCAGATATAACTTTATTATCCCCGGCTGGTTTTGAGTCGACACTATAAAGTGAGGTTTAAATCATGGATAACTTTATTATCCCGGCTGGTTTTGAGCCGACACTATAAAGTGAGGTTTAAATCATGGATAACTTTATTGTCCCCGGCTGGTTTTGAGCCGACACTATAAAGTGAGGTTTAAATCCGATATAACTTTATTATCCCCGGCTGGTTTTGAGCCGACACTATAAAGTGAGGTTTAAATCAGGGATAAATTTATAGTCCCGGCTGGTTTTGAGCCGACACTATAAAGTGAGGTTTAAATCAGGGATAAATTTATAGTCCCGGCTGGTTTTGAGCCGACACTATAAAGTGAGGTTTAAATCATGGATTACTTTATTATCCCCGGCTGGTTTTGAGCCGACACTATAAAGTGAGGTTTAAATCAGATATAACTTTATTGTCCCGACTGGTTTTGAGCCGACACTATAAAGTGAGGTTTAAATCAGGGATAACTTTATTGTCCCGGCTGTTCATTTTTTTATCCTGATATATTTTTAAATTAATAATACTTTATTAAAGATTGCTCGTCCACGCAAAGGGAAATATTTTTTTTCAATCCTAATGATGTGTCCACATGGGATAAAAACGGTTAATGTACCAAGTACAGGGTTAAGTTTTGACATGTTAAGATTTTATACTGATCTCAATCATTAGTTTTGGTTCAGGTCAATTTACTGTTCTTGTATCTGGTTCATGATCATTTTGGTTTAAATTCTGATTTTCGATCCAGTGCTCAAGAAAAGTCTGGTTCTGGTCCAGGTTCTGCTTTGGCGATTCTGGTTGTGTTCTTTTTTTGGTTTTGGTTTTGGTTCTGGTTCTTGCTCAGTGTATGCTTCTGATACGGGTTTGGGTTTGGATTTTGGTTCTGGTTCAAGTGCGGATTTTGGTTCTGTTTCTGGTTCTGTTTTAATTTAGATCCTGGTTCATAAACTGGTTTTGATTCTTGATTTGATTTTAATTTCTAGTTTCAGACCCAAAGAGTTTCTATATCTGTAATGTTTAGTCCAAACATTTCTTCCTCCAGTTTCAGAAGAATTCTAAAATATAAAATTACTTTTTTAGTCACAGATTACAGAGATACGACAAAAGATATCAAATATTTTCTAGACTTTTCATGCAGATCAAACATGGTAGTATGAAAAAATAGTTTTGAACAACACTTGTGATAGATACATATTTTCTACAGATTAGGACCATCATTATCGTTTTAACAAACTTCTTTGACGTTAGTGTAAAGGTTTTTTTTTATAAAAAAGTTTGCAATTTTTAAAGAAAACACTTTTGTTTTCAGTGAACAATGTTTTTTTTGTTAAATTGTTTCCGAAAACCATTTGTCTAGCTGAGAGCGTGAAGTTTATCAATTCAGATATTTTACAAGTGATGAAGCAGAATAATGATCATGTTAGATGATGTAAACGTAATACTCAACATACATATTCATGAACATCGAGATAGATAGATAGAAATATAGATAGATAGATAATTAGATAGATAGATAATTAAAGACACAAAGAGATAGAAAGAATATATTTTATCTCACTAAAAGAACTGATTTTTTTGCCACCAATTTAAACTTCCTCATCCCTACATCTTTGCAACCTGATGATGTAAACCTTTGATATTTCAAAGGAAATTTATAATATGAAATATATAAAGTCTCCAACATTTATTTGTAAAGATATATGGATTAGAAAATTAGGGTTTGTGGAAGAAGGCTATAGTAAATAGTATATAGTATATACTATATACTATATAGTATATAGTATATAGTAAATAGTATATAGTATATACTATATACTATATACTATATACTATATAGTAAATAGTATATAGTATATAGTATATAGTATATAGTATATAGTATTGTTAACCATTAATTTCAAAACCTCTATAAAATGTCGTCTTCTACTGGAATCTCCTGTCGGAGACAGCCAAACCAAATTTTCAGCCCGCAAATTCCATTGTCCTCCTCCGACGGAGCTTAAAATATTTTCGTTGTTGTGAAATCATTAAAGTTAAGCAAAATATTTTCATAAGAAGCATAAGTGAATTTCGTTAAATATTCAACTGTAATTTTTCAGAAGTTAAAAACGNATAGTATATAGTATATAGTATATAGTAGTATACTATATACTGTATACTATATACTATATACTATATAGTATATAGTATATAGTATATAGTATATAGTATATAGTATATAGTATATACTATATACTATATACTATATACTATATACTATATACTATATACTATATAGTATATAGTATATAGTATACAGTATATAGTATACTACTATATACTATATACTATATACTATCTATATACTATATAGTCCCTTTTCAACCTAGCTGAATTCTCCGGTTTAGCGGAGATAAAAACTTTAACTTAAAATAAAGCTAATATTGCAATACTGTCACATATTGGCAGGTTCTAGAGAGAGATAGAAGGAGAACTAGGATGCATCCTTGGGGAGTTTTATTCAACATTTAGATACAAACCTTTCAATCAATTAAACCCAAGAAATACAAAAAAAGAAACCTGAGCCTAGTGCAAAATGTAAATTATCTATTTTAAATCAGATAGAAAATTAGATAAAGAAGGTATCAATGTGACATACAGTTTTTAGTATTTAAAACACGCAGAAACACCAAAGATGTACGAACTTAAAAATATCCTCGAAAATAAAGTGAGCGCTAAGAAAGCTAGAAATCATAGAAAGGGGGGGGGGGGTAACTCTCATGAAGAAATTGAGTTTTTGCCACAAATTCAGAATTTTCTAAACCCTTTTTCTTTGCAACCCATGTCTTAGGTTACTCCATCAGGTTGCAAAGATATAAATATGAGAAAGTTTGATTTTGTGACAAAGACTCAATTCCTTCACAGGAAAAAAAACCAGGGTCGAGTGTTGAAAATATTTTCTTAGAAAGATTCAAGTCCTATAATCAAAGGCGTATACAGGGGTGGGCGGGGGGTTAAGAGGGGAAGTGCCCCACCTAGACCTGTAAAGGGGGGGTGTATTCCCCCCCCCCCTAGAACTCATAGCTATCACACTTTTCAAATCTGAAACTGAAGGGTGAAGAGTATTAAGAACATTAATTTGCTGTTTTTTTTCCTGCTAGTTTTGCTTGATGGAGTAAGTCCTTGTAAGGTAATTGGACGACTGCATAGTGTATGTGTACCTTTAAAGTATCCAAGATGTCAAATATTTTGAATTTACGGTTCAAATTTTGCCCCCCCCCCCCCTAGAAGATCTTAAGGGGGAGGGGCAAAAAACTGTTTTGCCCCCCCTAGTTTATTTCTGTATACGCCCTTGTCTATAATATTTTAATATTTGATTTTCTTATTTACCTTAACCAAGGATTGCTAAGACGAACTCCTGGTCTACTGTTCTCTACAAACCCCAAACTGTCCTGAAGTCGAGAAACATTATAATCATATTTACCAAATATATAAAAATAGTGTTCAATCAAGGAATAGTTGACATAATTTTTAATCTATCCATTAATAGAATGGCATGTATGATTGACTACAGAACCCTTTTAACCTTTTACTGATCTACTTTAAATCAGATATCCATGTATTTCTCTTTGAAACTTGATTAAAGCTACTGTGCAGGTTTCCTTTAAAAGAAACAATTGAGAAAGTATTTAGAGTAAACACTAAACAGTATTCAAGTCATAAAAGCCACAATACCTTCCACATTATATATTATAGAGCAGCTGAGGATTCTGGCATGCAACTCTATCTTTTTTTATAGAGGGTTACTGGAAATTACAATGATAGTCCTTTTTAGAAATCAATAAATTATGAAAATATTTAAAATTAATTGACTGTATAAATCCGTTTACCTCTAGCGAGACACTGTAGCTGGACATAAGAGCTGAAGTGATGACAGCCGCTGATTGGTCTAATCCGTCACATCCATGAACTAGGATCCGGCCTCCGGAGCTTAAAGCCTCCGATATGAATGAGTTTGTGAGCTTGAGAGTGGAGAGGCTGAAAGAGGTTTTGTTTACTATAATGTACACAATCCCTTTGATCTTCCCAGACCTACATTCTTAGAGAAACACAAATATGACATTTGGCAACAAGTCTTATTTTTTAAAGGGACTGTATGCGTAATTTCAAGTGTCCCTCCTTACTTGATTAAAGGGACTGTATGCGTAATTTCAAGTGACCCTCCTTACTTGATTAAAGGGACTGTATGCATAATTTCAAGTGTCCCTCCTTGCTTGATTAAAGGGACTGTATGCATAATTTAAAGTGGCCCTCCTTGCTTGATTATCGGTTCTCAATTTATCTTTTCAGTAATCTGGAAGATACTGTCGTTTTTTAGCAAGGTTTAAAAGTTTTTATTTTCTGATAATTCCAATGCGTTCTCCAGTAGAGAAATCACAATTGAAAATAATAAGATTTCAAAATTTAATTGATCAGACAATACAATTGTGAAACAGTCATTGCCATCTTTGCATGGAGATTCACTTGAATTTACGCCTACAGTCCCTTTAAGTACAATAAACAACTTTTAAATCTAATGAAAAGTAAAACATATTTGAAAGTGGAATTAAGACGACATTAAAACCTTGTTATATTATTTAGTTTCCCTGACTCTAGCTGTTGATAATATGTGAGTTATCCCTAGAAAAAAAAATTATAAAAGTATAAAATAAAGAATAGATCAAAAATACACGTCACGTGATACAGACAAAGACACATGGTCACTATACTGCACTCTTATTGGTGAGAGTTCTTGTGACGTAATACGGACTAATGAATAATATTATTAATTTTATCTATTAAGAATAAAAATAAAAATTATAAAATAATAATTGGAGAAAATCTAAGTTACAAATATGTTTCTCTGGGATATCTTCGCTTTCAGATTGGTTGCGTATTTGTTGAATATGATCTGTTTAAACCTATCATTTCAATACAAAACATTTGACACAGTTTTACATAAATTTCTTGAGACAGGAACATCAGATATAATTTTCATGGGTCGCGATCAAGTGCTACAGTGAATAGTGATAGCCTATACCCCCTTTTATTTTTCATTTACAGTCCCTTTTTTTAATTAAAAAAGTGAGATGGAAGGCTGAATAACCTAAATACCATCTTTCCTAATATCTAAAATTGTGTTTTAAAAGCGTACTGAATTTAATGCTTTTTTACATTGTGTAATAACTCAATGTATGCACCTTTAAAACATAACACGCTCATAAATCGGCCCATTAAAGGTTCACTTAATAATTTTATATAAACTGTAAACCATAATTAGTTTTTAAATGGTTAATACATTTAAAATATAAAATAAGAAATTTAGTTTTGTTTGAACATAATTGCATAATTTTAGAACTCAGTAAACATAGGGTTTAGCTAGATAACAATTATAGTGCTTAAAGGGGCTGGTGACTAAATTTCAAGGTACCAGAGCTCATTTTCTTTACAATTCACAACGGTACTCTTAAAAGCGTTGCCTGATTAAAACTAATGAGATAACCATATATTTAACTTTTAAAATTTTGTGTTTGCAGCTGTGGTTTCTCTTCAAAAATGACTTTAATTTAACACTTTTCAAGCGAAAATAACGACGATATCTTCCATGCACATTTTTAATAAAATTGAGGTTTATAAGACACCATTGTGAATCGAGCATGCTCCGCTTTGATTGAAGTGTCACTACAAATTAAAACAACAGCCCCTTTAAAAAAAGATTTAAAGTTATATTTGAAAAATAAAAGTGACGAGATGAGAAAATCGCCATGAAAAAAAAAATTGATTACTCGTCACACCTAATTATATCTTTGTAACCTGATCTCGCTGAACTTCGAAATTTGAAACTATGAACACAAACTTCAAGGTCAATTAGTCAAAGTTTGAAATATGAATGGTTTATATCATCAGGTTGTAAAGATATTGGACGAGAGATCAGTTCCTTTACCTAGGTTTCTAATGATATTTGGATCTTCGGCTTGTTCGACCCGTCCCAGGTACAGTTTATCTTTTATAATCATAGATGGTAGCCAGGGTACACATCTTCTCTATATATATATATATGTATATATAAACATGTACATCTAAATATAATAGTTTATCTTTTATAATCATAGAGGGTAGCCAGGGTACACATCTTCTCTATATAAACAGTGTAATGGGGCCTTTCTTGAAAGTACGACCGCAATTTTTTTTTATTTAGTTACCTCTGGTTCTATCCGTCCTACGGCAGGATGGATGAGCTCTAAATCATACTCCGGGTCCTCTATATCACTGTCATCAGACCTCTCCGGTCCTATATTCTCTACAGAGCTTCTCATTAACTCCACCTAGAAAATCTTAGTCTAGTAAAACTAAAGAAAATGAGTCCTTACCACAAACTCTAATTGTTGAATCCTTTTATTTTTGAACCTTTAATATTTATAATTTAATTTACTAGGCTTTTAGGGCGCTTCGCGCCCATCTTCTATTTCAACTTTTAATTGTGGCTTTATCTGTTAGCATCTTTTCTTTGCACAGTATAAAAAAAGCAAAAAAAAATTTGCGGATTTCATACTATTTTTTCGCGCATTTTCAAATTTACAAAAATAAAAAAGACTTTTAAACACAATTTTTTTAAATTTTGATCATTCAAAAACCTTCCCTGGGGTCACGTACGGTCCCAAAAAAAATTGGGCCTGATCGGTTCAGCCATTTTGACGTTTATTGGATACAAACAAAAAGACAAACAAACAAAAAAGAAAGACAGACAAGCGAAATTTATATATAGACTAAAAATTCAAGGCGCTTCGCGCCCATCTTCTATTTAAATTGTAAACATGTTCTTTTTGTTTACATTTTAAAACAAAGAAGAGAAAAATTTTGCGGAATTAAAAAAAAATCTCGGATTTTCAAGAATTTAAATTTGTTTACTCAATTAAAAACCTTTCAAACACATTTTTTAAAATTTTTTATCATTTATAAACCTTCCCTGTGGTCACGTGATGTCCCACAAAAAAATTGGGCCCGATCGGTTCAGCCGTTTTGACGTTTATTGGATACAAACAAACAAACAGACAGACAAGCCAAAATTATATATAGACTAGGCTTTTAGGGCGCTTCGCGCCCATCTTCTATTTAAATTGTGAACATGTTCTTTTTGTTTACATTTTAAAACAAAGAAGAAAAATATTTTGCGGATTTTTAAAAAAAAATTCGCGGATTTTCAAGATTAAAAACCTTTAAAACAAATTTATCATTCATAGACCTTTCCTGTGGTCACGTGATGTCCCACAAAAAATTTGGGCCCGATCGGTTCAGCCGTTTTGACGTTTATTGGATACAAACAGACAGACAAACAAACAGACAGACAAGCCAAATTTATATATAGATTTGATCCAACATATATCATATTTTGAAACAACTAATGTCTGCGACACTGAGTTTGTGGCGAAGACTCAATTTCTTTATGAATAATGTTGTTCCAAATAATTGCTTTTGTAAAAAATTCCTAAATATTATAAAATCGTGCAGAAGCTAATTCGGTGTTAAATGTTAAAATTTCAAATTTTAAAACTACATGGTTCGTTGGTTTTGTTGGTAACATATCAAATGTTAAAGTTTACCGAAGCAAAGTACAAGTTGTAAAGGAATTGAGTCCTATTGTTACAAACTCTAAATATCCCTGTGCAAATCAATGTCGTAGACCTTATATATTATAAAATGCGAATTATTTGTTAGTACGTTTTTTTCTTGTGTTGAACTTCTTGTTTATAAAAGACTCAATACAATTAAACATCAATGGAATTATACATAGACGATTTTTAAATATTTCATTCAATTTTAAGGGAATTTATCACACCTAATTAATAATACCTGTTGTAGGGTGATTACGTGACTTTATCGCCCTACAACAGGACGAAAAAGTAACTTTATCACCCTGCTATTCTATTGTACTGGGTATAATGCGTGCGAAAAAGATTTTGGTATGATAAATAGAAAATAAAAAATCACAGCAAAAACTTTTCGTACTTGAAAATACCCACTATAGTTTCATTAGAATCAAGTATTTCCATTTACTGATAGCGCCTATTGAAGGTTTCATAACTCTGATTGGATAATGAAAAAGATAGAAAGATAGATGTTACCGCCATACTATTTCTATTGGTTCAGAATAGACAACAAAAACATGACTGAACCCTGATTGGATCAGGCGCTAATGAACCCGGCCTAAAAGGAGTGTACCCATAACAATAACATAAATAGATATATTGTATATTTATAATATACCTGTGAAGCAAAGGGAATTAATGTTGTACGCTTCCTAAAAAATTAAATATTAAACAATTGACATTTTTTGAATTTAATTTAGTTTTGTGACCTGAGAGAAGAGAAACATGATTCTTGTAAGCTCTTGAACCCTCCCAGAACTATCCTAGGATCCAAACCGAGTCCACGTAACCTTTAATATATCGTTATATAAATATAATACTCATATTTTTTAATGAACACCTAACAGGATATATAGTTTGAAATATTAAAAGTCTACAACATTAAAGTTGCAAAGATAAAAAATAGAGTTTGTGGCAAATGTCCAGCCAATCTTTAATCAGTACACTTTTAATAAAGTAAACAAGGATTTCTCCATCACATTAAAGGATACTCTTGTGAAATAAAGATTGTTTCTATTGAACAAGAGAGTCACGTGAAATACCGTCGACAGTCCCTTTAAAGAATGAAGCAGTTTTTATATTTTCTTTCATTATAGTTGAGTATTTTTCTTATCGTGTAAAGACGACATTTTTTAAGAAATAAAGAGTTTAGGGATAGGTAGGAAATTGAGTTTTTGCAACACACTCAAATTTTCTAATCCTTTACAGCTATTTCGCGCAAATCTGGCACCTAATAAAACGACATATCACTATAGTTTCAGTACTAGTAAATATATTTTGAAATAGCTCATGGTCAACGACATTGGGTTGCAAAGATATAGGAATTAGAAAATAAAAGGTTGTTGCGAATACTAAATTTCTTTTTGAATAATGTTGTTCCAAATAATTTGAGTCTGACAGAAATGTTAAGACACCATCTCAAAAACTTCTTTTTTATTGCAAAAACTTAGCTTAGTTTATAACTAAAGTAATTTTCTAAACTGCAATTTGCCCCTTAAGACAACTTTAGGAAAACATTTAACAGTGTCAGCTCAATGTTTTTTTATTCTAATTGCTATACTGGTTTTTATCCTAATTACTATATTGGTTTTTATCCTAATTGCTATACTGGTTTTTATCCTAATTGCTATACTGGTTTTCATCCTAAATGCTATACTGGTTTTTATCCTAATTGCTATATTGGTTTTTATCCTAATTGCTATACTGGTTTTTATCCTAAATGCTATACTGGTTTTTATCCTAATAGCTATATATGTTTTTATCCTAATTGATATACTGGTTTTTATCCTAATTGCTATACTGGTTTTATCCTAAAATGCTATACTGGTTTTTATCCTAAATGCTATACTGGTTTTTATCCTAATTACTGGTTTTTATCCTAAATGCTATACTGGTTTTTATCTTAAATGCTATACTGGTTTTAATCCTAAATGCTATACTGGTTTTTTTCCTAAATGATATACTGGTTTTTATCCTAAATGCTATACTGGTTTTGTATCCTAATTGCTATTATGGTTTTTATCCTAAATGCTATACTTGTTTTGATTTTTGAGTTTTGTCAATACTTAAGCTTACTGTTTCAATTCTCAGAATCTCAAATATTGAATACCTTTTTCTGTAAATCAAATATGCCAAATTTATGTCGATGAATCATATAAATTTTATTCAGTCAAATCTTCATTCATGATTTAGCCAAATATTTCATGCACTTCTTGATAATTAGTAATTATGATAAACTTATTATGATAATTAGTTGTACACTATGATATAACTTTATAATTAGATGAATATTTAATATTTTAGAATATATACTTGTGTCCTCAAAACTTTTTTTTAAGAATTAGAGAAAAATATATTTTTTTACAGAAATAAAAATTTGCATTCCATGTATTTTATAAAAGTAACAATTGCGTATTTAAATTTTTTTGAAAGTAAGAATTTAGACAGAACATATTTTTTTTTGAAAACTTTGTGGATGAAATTTCTATAAAATTTTACCTTAGATATGATTTTCTGAGCGGAGACTTAATGTTTCCAACACTACACCCGTCCTTATCATACAGCAGGATCTGACTATATTCATCCAGATCTAGATAGTTAAACATACACTACAATAGAGCAGGATCTGACTATATTCATCCAGATCTAGATAGTTAAATAAACCCTATACACCCGTCCTTATCATAGCAGGATCTGACTATATTCATCCAGATCTAGATAGTTAAATATACACTACAAAAGAGCAGGATTTGACTATATTCATCCAGATCTAGATAGTGAAACATACAATACAATAGAGCAGGATCTGACTATATTCATCCAGATCTAGATAGTTAAACATACACTACAATAGAGCAGGATCTGACTATATTCATCCAGATATAGATAGTTAAATATACCCTCTAAACCCGTCCTTATCATAGAGCAGGATCTGACTATATTCATCCAGATCTAGATAGTTCAACATACACTACAATAGAGCAGGATTTGACTATATTCATCCAGATCTAGATAGTGAAACATACACTACAATAGAGCAGGATCTGACTATATTCATCCAGATCTAGATAGTTAAAACACTTTACATCCGTCCTTATCATAGAGCAGGATTTGACAATATTTATCCAGCAGGATCTGACTATATTCATCCAGATCTAGATAGTTAAATATACACTACAATAGAGCAGGATTTGACTATATTCATCCAGATCTAGATAGTTGAATATACCCTATACACCCGTCCTTATCATAGAGCAGGATTTGACTATATTCATCCAGATCTAGATAGTTAAATATACACTACAATAGAGCAGGATTTGACTATATTCATCCAGATCTAGATAGTTAAACATACCTTATACAATAGAGCAGGATTTGACTATATTTATTCAGATCTAGATAGTTGAATATACCCTATACACCCGTCCTTATCATACAGCAGGATCTGACTATATTCATCCAGATCTAGATAGTTAAACATACACTACAATAGAGCAGGATTTGACTATATTCATCCAGATCTAGATAGTCAAATATACCCTATACACCCGTCCTTATCATAGAACAGGATTTGACTATATTTATCCAAATCTAGATAGTTAAATTTACACTTTAAATCCGTCCTTATCATAGAGCAGGATTTGACTATATTCATCCAGATATAGATAGTTAAATTTACACTTTACATCCGTCCTTATCATAGAGCAGGATTTGACAATATTTATCCAGATAGGATTTGACTATTATAGTTATCCAGATCTAGATAGTTAAACATACAATACAAAAGAGCAGGATTTGAGTATAATTATCCAGATATAGATAGTCAAATATACACTATACATCCGTCCTTACAATAGAGCAGAATTTAACTATATTTCCAAATCCAGATTGTCAATTTTTCGTTTTCTTCATTAGAAAATGTATAGATCAATATATTTCTAAAATAAAGCTTTTCGCTCATATATATATTTATATGTTCGCTATTGCTGACTTAACGACTGGATAAAATTGACTGAATTTGTTTATGGGAACCCATGGATGTCACGTCATTATATCATAAATTCGTGATTTAATGCCGAGTCTTGGAGTCACTGTAACTATTAATAACGAAATGATCTCTAATAGTTCTCCTTAAATCTATTTAATTGAAATGTGTTGTTATCATTATTAAAATTAGGTGGAAAAAATAATCAAAACAGCTAAGAGCTATTTTCCACCTAATGGCTTTATACTTGTACTGTTAATATAATTATCTATTTGTAATTGTAAACTCGTTCTATATACAGATACACGTATTTTAGCAATACACTTCATCTTATCTCTTATCTTATCTTAACCTGGGCAAAGCCGGGTACTCTAGCTTGCAGGAAATAAATTACTTTAAACGAAATTATTAAAAATTACTTTGTTGATAAAGATGGAGCCGCTCATAGTGAACACTTGTTGGTACACGCTCCTTTAACCAGTCATCAACACTTCTAAAGAAACATTTAATTAAAGGGACTGTACACTTCTAAACAAACATTTATTTAAAGGAAATGTACACTCCTAAACAAACATTTATTTAAAGGAACGGTACACTTCTAAACAAACATTTATTTAAAGGAAATGTACACTCCTAAACAAACATTTATTTAAAGGAACGGTACACTTCTAAACAAACATTTATTTAAAGGGACTGTGGTTGTAATTTTAATTGACTCTCTATTTATTTAAAGGGACTGAAGACGTAATTTCAATTGACTCTCTATTTAAAGATCTGCATGCCTTTTTCACACATGTAACTCTTAAATTATTTGTATGAATATTGAACATGAATGAATGAGATTTTATTTTTTAAAAAAATTTAAAATATAACTTTAATTGTGGTGACTCTGTAAAAGTGACTTTCTACTAGACAAGCAATGGAGTAAATCGCGTCGCTTTAAAAGCTAGAAGATCGATGGTTTCTTCCACATATTTTATCAGATAAAGGTTTACAGGGTACCGCTGGGAATCGGACATGTCCCTGTTTTAAATAAAGGGTCACTTAAAATTGTATATTACATTCTCTTAAGGTTTATATTTACATTTCAATATTATCAAAGTTGTTTTCAACAAAGAATAAGAATTGTTTTTATTTTGTTGTATAATTTGTAGATTCAATAATTATTACTAATTATGTTATTAAAGGTTTTCACAACGTGTTTTGCACTGCTATGTACTCAGTTATAGAATATAAAAATATTTTTATAAATACACATTTATTGAACACCTCACAAAGATTCAGGCTGCTCTGAAAAGTTGCATCAATGTTTAGAACGGGATCAACTTTTAAGTGTTGCAATACCATTGCCTTTGATTATAACTCAATAAATAACTTATACCTTTTTTGTAGCCTTAGAAATGTATATTTTATAATTATAAAGCAGATAATTTTTTATTTATGTTTTCAAGAAGTTAAGTTATTTGAAAATTATCATGGATCACTGTTTACTCTTTACTCAGTTTGAATCCAATTATGTCTTTGAAATATATGTAGTTCAACAACCTTTAAACTACCAGAGTTGTATGGAAATACTTGCACATCAAAAATACATCCGCAGAAAAAAAGTAAAAATAAAAGAAAGGAAAAAAATAGTTCTTTATAATATAGCTCTTCGCTCATATATAAATATGCATATATATATATATATGTGTTAGCTATAGCCATGGCCAAACAGCTGAAACAAATTGGCTGAATTTTTTAGGGAACCCAAGGGTATCCAGTGGAGTAATATAGTCTAAACAAATTTTAATTTTTTTTCTTCAAATTCAGATTTTTTTCCAAATCTTTTTTTTAATCAAAATTCCCGGCAACGCCGGGTACTTCAGCTAGTATTTGATATGTCAAATTGTGATGAAATGTTACAGCTTGCAGAGACAAATACTGAAATATTAAATGAGTTTGCAGGACGGAAACGACAAAAAAACAATTAGAAAGTATAACATTCAAATAATCAGCCTGTGTAAAACAATAAAGTTAATCTATTTCTTAAAAAATGTTGTAAGCTATTTTAAGCAACATTTGTAATATCATTTTGATTTTGCAAATAGTATTCTTTGTTTTATTATTATTATGCAATTTGTTTTGTTTATTTGTGCAAAAACTATAATGGATTGTAGTTTAATGATGTATATTTGGAAGAAAAAGGGTTGGAATTTTCAAGCCTTGAATTATATATGAAGTATACAAACTCATACAATATACTACAAATTAAATATGGATTTTCATTTCAAGGAAAAAAAACATTTTAGTTTTATTTTAATTTTAATGAAAAATAATCAAATATTTAGCTAAATTTTAAATTTTGATTATTCAATATTAAAAGACATAAATTTCAGTATAGAACCTTGAAATTTTGATATTAAATCGTTATACATACATAAATGTATCATAAATCAGCCCAACACAGTGACTGTCTGTGTTTATATGAATTGAATTATTTAAACTGTCTTTGTTTTTCATTTTGTTTTTCATTTAGATAAATCCTCAAAAGATTTATTTTCGTAAAATGCTTTTCATAAAACTTTACACACCTCATACAACACTTCACATCTATTTATTCATTTGGGCTTTCTGTTTATTTTATCCTATGCACGTCAAAACGGCTGAACCGATTGGGTCACATATTCTTGTCAAATCTCACATGACTCCAAAGAAGGGATATGGCCGGCCAAAAGTTAAAACTTTTTCTTCCAACAGATTTGAATATTTGAACAATTTGTGAAAACATAAAAATCTGCGAATATAATGATAAAATGATAAACGAAGTAAATGCAAGAGGCAACATATAAAAGAAAGCTAAAGTTATAACCAGAAAGAAGGGCGCCAAGCAACTTAAGAATTTAGCTTAAACTTAGATGAAACCGCTAATAAAGTTAGTTAAAGCCTAAATTAAAATAATAAAAATGATAATGATAACATTTTGTAAATTCTAGTTTCAAATTAAAAAACTTTCTATAAAACAATTCATTGGTTTATCATTATAATTAAAGGTAAGCATGCAATTAAACCACAAACTATTTTAAGTTCAGAAATACATTAAACTAAACTTGATACATTATTTACGTTCTTTACTAAATGCATTAAATAAATCGTTAAATGCATTTTAGAAGCTGACTTATATCATCATAAACCTTTTTTGATTACAATTCTTGAAATAAAAAATTAAAAACCCTGATTCTTTAAATAAAATGCCTAAAAAAATAATTACTCCTTGCAATATTTCGATTGATTCTAATGCTTTAAATTTTTGGAATGCAGTAAAAGTAAAATTTGGCTTTTTAGCAAGATTACTTATTCTTGAGTTTCATGAGTTTTCTTATGTTTTAAATAAAAGTGTAAATTATAAGAAAAACTATATTTTATATCAAAGAAAGACTTAAATTTATTTATACTAGATGTAACTAGGAAATACATTTAAAACAAACATAAAAGAAACGATAGAATAAATTTAAATTGTTTTTTTTCTCTAATATTATCAAATATTTTCATGAAAAATTAATTTAAAACAGTATTTTGAAATATTTCTATATATAAAGTTGTAATCTCTGATTGTTTGTTGGTTTGTTTGGATTCTGATCATAGTTCAGAAACCTCTTGACCGATTTGCCTCAAAACCACGGGAATGTTTTGAGATTCGAAGTTGAGTGGACTTTTTAGGGAAAAATAGCTAAAATCATAATTTACGACCATGCGCGGGTAAACGGCGAGTATAACAATTAGTACCCTGCTGGGCAACATTGGTTCTCAAGCTAGTATCATCATACAAAGGAATTGAGTTATTGCCACAAACTCAAATTTTTTAATTTTTATATCTTTGCAACCTAATGGTGTAAACCTTTGATATTTCAAACTCACAATATTTCATCTAACATAATTTAAAGTTTGAAATATCAAAGGTCTTTGACAAAGGGTTGCAAAGATATAAGGATTACAAATCTAAGTTTGTGGCAAAAACTCAATTCCTTTCGAGTAACATAGAATATTAAATTTGTTATTTAAACGAGGAAACAATATGAAAAGATCCCTAGCCATGAAATTTTGTAAAAGTATCAAGTAAACCTACCTAAAATCTAGAATAAGCATGTAAAGAGGATTTTGAATATACGCTGAACAATATCCTAAAAAGAAAACATTTATTTCACTTTCAGAAAAAAAAGAATTCATCTCGTGGAAGAATGTAATTTAGTTCTTCTTTGCTGCTTAGCAATCTAATTTTTCTCCGTAATGTGAAAATGTTAGATCAAAGCACTGATTTCTCTTTCTACAGTTTTTGCAAGAATTGTAGAATTAGAAGGATTTTCATATTTGCAAACATCTTTAAAAAACAAACAACACACGAAAAAGGTCAAAACATGAACATTGAGGCAAGAAAATAATCTTGAATACTTAATCTTGATATCCAATGTGGGTACCTGAAGTTTAGAAGTGTATACAAATGATGTCATCATTATTGTTCAATGCATAACGTATCTATCGTTTCAGAAATATATTGCTATATCTTTCCCTTAAAGGGACTGTAAAGGAAAAATGAAAGGGGGTATAGACTGAAACCTAAGCAGTTTAGGAGTTGATCGAGACCTATAAGGAATTGAGTTATTGCCACAAACTCAAATTTTCTAGTCCCTATATCTTTGCAACGTCATGGTGTAAACCTTTGATATTTCAAACTCAAATTATTTGATCTAACAGAATTCATAGTTTGAAATATCAAACGTCTATGACATTGGGTTGCATTGAAATAACGATATGAAAATCAGAGTTTGTGGCAAAAACTCAGTTCCTTAGTTCCTTTATATATATAAAATTTTATATAAAAATCATAGTTTTAAACTACGTATTATTGTCATTTATCTCCGTCAGTATCACGTGACCAGTATACTGCACTGCCATTGGTGGGAGTTATGATCACGTGATACGGACGTACACATAATATTATCAATTATATCTATTAAAAATTTAAAATCATTAAGTTCAAATAATAATAGGATAAAACCTAAGTTTGTTAGTCTTTTCTTGGATATCGTCGTTTTCAGATTGGTTACGTATTTGCTGAATATGATCTATTTAAAAATTTTATACATGGGCCTTGATCAACTCCTAAAATGATTAGGTTCCCGCCTCTATACCCCCTATCATTTTTCATTTACATTCTCTTTAAACATATTAATGTGTCACTCTTGTAAAATTGGAACTTTTTATGCCTGCTCAAACATTTTTGTTTTTGGTTCAGAATTATCTTTTTAATTCTTAGAAATTTCGAATTTTCTCATTATTAATCTTTGCCTCTGCAGTTATAACCTAGCAAACCATGCATAAATATCAAGATTATAAACAGCATACTTAAATTAAATATTATTTTGGTAAATGCTGCTTTGTTTTCTTGTTTTGTGGAAAAGAATAAAATATGTAAATTGAATTTACAAGTATTCGTGAGAAGACAAGATTTGGTTACATATACACACATAAACTTCTTCAGGATTCAACTAGGGTTAGAAATATTCCGTATAAAAATTCAAATTATCTAGCAGAAAATAACTGCAAACATTTTGGAAATATGGAATTTGGATTTTTAGGGTTTCCAACTGGAATTATTAATCAATCTTAATTAAAGCAGAACTTTTTTAAAATCATATCATTAGGCAAAGGAATTGAGTCTTTGCAACAAACTCAAATTTTCTAATCCCTAAATCTTTGCAATCTGGTGGTGCTCTTTGATATTTCATCTTACAGAATGCATAGTTTGAAATATCTAAGGTCTGTGACATTGGGTCGCAAAAATATAGGGATTTTAAGTCAGAGTATGTTGTAAAGACTCAATTCCTTTGGCTAATGATATGATTTAAAAAAATTCTGCTCAATTAAGATTGATTCATAATTCCAGTTTGAAACCCTAAAAATTCCAAATTCCATATTTCCAAAATGATTGCAGTTATTTTGAAATATTGTTCAAAATGTTTATTCTCTTTCGATCATTCTTTATATCTTCATTATAATTTTAAAGACTTTTCCGAAAATTGTGAAAATTTCTAAATTATTTAAATCTGAACTTTCGGCCCAACACTAGATTTTACGAAAACATCAGTTTCTTACAGAAATAAAGATTACAATTAGAAGGCAAACTAGTTTACTTTGTAAACAACCAATTTGTTTTTCTACATAAATTCAAAATGTTAGAATATTTAGTTCACAAGTGTTTTAATTGCCAATTACTTATTTAAAACTGATTTAAAAAAAGCACTTTGCAGATTTGAAATCTCTATATCCAATGCTTCAAGATTATGTTTGGGTTTGTAAGATCAAACAATGGTGTACGGCCTGGCAAAACTTTATTATCGGCCCGATCTCGTTAGTTGATACATAATCTAGAGAACTATGTATATTTCTATAAAAGCACGGACTCTGTATATATTTACATTTATAAATAAACCAATCTGAGCAGAAAGCATCTTCATTAATATTCTTAATTATGCTGCAAAACAATTCTACAATTCTAGCAATACTAGGCTTTAAAGCCACTTCGCGCCCATCATTCTGATAATAATTTTACTTTAAGGGTAGCCAGTTTTCTACATACTTCAGGAAACATAACAATCTATTGTTTTGCAGATTTTTAATGGCGTTTTTTTTATCAAAAAGAAACATTTTTTGTTAAGCAAAATATTTTAATAAAACCAGTCAAAAACCTTCCTTGGGGACATTTGAGTTTCCCGAAACATTTTGAACTGATTGGTTCAGCCGTTTTAACGTCTATTGGATACACACAAAGTTAAGCCAAATATATATAGATATTGTATATATATAAATCTTAACTATAGCTTCAGGGGAAAGAAAGAAAGAAAATAAATATTCCAAGATGTCATTTTCTAATTATAAACAGATTTAATGCCTAGAAAAGTTTAAAGTTTTCTTGAGAAAGTTGTTTAGTTGTACAGTTGTATCAAACTTAAAGTCAAACTTTATAAAGCTTGAATTAAAGCACAAACAAAGTATGCTTAAGCCTGAAGGTCAGGAATGAAAAGTCACCGGAAAAAAAGTTTCAGGAAAAAAATGGAAATGTAAAAAGTCCCAATTTTCTCAGGAAATAAGATCACAGGAATTAAAGTCCTGCCCCTTTTTTGCATGGTTGTAAACATTTTTTGTTCCCATGCATTTTCTACTATAATGGGACTTTTTCAGGGGACGTTTTTGTATATAATCATGTTGGAACCAGAAAAAAAGTCCTTGAAAATAAAAGTCTCAAAATGGTGGGACTTTATTAACCGGGACTTTTTATCTTAAGGACTTTTTTCCACAGGACTTTTTTAGTGCAAAAATTTAGGGTTTTTATTTCCAAAAACTTTTTTTCAAAGAACTTTGACTTTCTTATATATATTCTAGATTAGAGCTGGTGATTGAACCTAAAAGTTGGACTAAGTAAAAATTAAACTTTTACCAGTCCAGCCATATGTAGAGATTCTACATATCATTGAATCAAACATTTTTTACTGTAAACTGTACTGTAAACTAAACTGTAAACTGTACAGTTAAATTAACTGTAAACTGTACTGTAAACTAAACTGTAAACTGTACTGTAAACTGTACTGTAAACTAAACTGTAAACTGTACTGTAAACTGTATTGTAAACTGTACTGTAAACTTTACTGTAAACTGTACTGTAAGCTGTACTGTAAACTGTACTGTAAACTGTACTGTAAACTGCACTGTAAAATGTGCTGTAAACTGTGCTGTAAACTGTAGTGTAAACTGTATGGCAAACAAACTGTACTGCTAACTGTACTGTAAACTGTAGTGTAAACTTTAGTGTAAACTTTACTGCAAACTGTACTGCAAACTGTACTGTAAACTGTACTGTAAATTGTACTGTAAACTGTACTGTAAACAGTACTGTAAACTGTACTGTAAGCTGTGCTGTAAACTGAACTGTAAACTGTACTGTAAACTGTACTGTAAACTGTACTGCAAACTGTGCTGTAAACTGTACTATAAACTGTACTGTAAACTGTACAGTAAACTGTACTGTAAACTGTACTGTAAACTGTTCTGTAAAATGTACTGTAAACTGTAATGTAAACTGTACTGTAACTGTACTGTAAAATGTACTGTAAACTGTACTGTAAACTGTACTGTAAACTCTACTGTAAACTGTACTGTAAAATGTACTGTAAACTGTACTGTAAAATGTACAGTAAACTGTACTGTAACTGTACTGTAAACTGTACTGTACCTGCATGAAACCAATTATAGAATGTTCTGGTACTGATCAACCCTTCCCTCCACTCCTCAGTTTTCAAACTAAATTCAGAATTATTGAAAACCTGGATATTATTTATGCAAAATTACTGTTTGAAAAAATCCTAGTCTTTGGTTCGTAATCTCAAACTTACTGAAAGCAATGTAAAAACATTTGTTCTAAAAAAATATTAAATGTTTTAAAAATAAAAAGAAACTGATTTTTTCCCACAAACTTTGATTTTCTTAGCCCAATATCTTTGAAACCAGATGTTATGATAATTCCAACTATAGATCTTTGAATATTTAGACTCAAGTTATGATTTTAAATATGAACATGAATCACAGGTTTGATATAGTCCTATTTCACTAAACAAGTTGAGAAGTCAAACAACTGATTTTTTCTTCAATAACATCAAATATACAAATTGCTAAAATGCCCTATGCCAAACTTTAATGGATCCAATTGTAGTTTTCTTTGTTAGAGAAAAGTTCTGTGGAGAGAAAATAAGACCCCCCCTATAAATGTATTTCAATGTTAATCTGAACTATCCTGTTGGGTTGAATCTTGAGACCTGCATTTTCATTCTCCGCCATCCGTTCATATTCAAGCATTCTCATCATAGGAGAACCCGCAGCTTTACTCCCGGAGCAACCCATCCTACTTCTAAATATATGTCGTCTTATATACCCGCAGCTTTACTCCCGGAGCAACCCATCCTACTTCTAAATAAATGTAGTCTTATATACCCGCAGCTTTACTCCCGGAGCTACCCATCCTACTACTAAATATATGTCGTCTTATATACCCGCAGCTTTATTCCCGGAGCAACCCATCCTACTTCTAAATAAATGTTGTCTTATATACCCGCAGCTTTACTCCCGGAGCAACCCATCCTACTTTTAAATGAATGTCGTCCTATATACCCGCAGCTTTACTCCCGGAGCAACCCATCCTACTTTTGAATAAATGTTGTCTTATATACCCGCAGCTTTACTCCCGGAGCAACCCATCCTACTTCTAAATAAATGTTGTCTTATATATCCGCAGCTTTACTCCCGGAGCAACCCATCCAACTTTTGAATAAATGTTGTTTTATATACCTGCAGCTTTATTCCCAAAGCAACCAATAATACTTCTAAATATATGTCGTCTTATATACCCGCAGCTTTACTCCCGAAGCAACCCATCCTACTTTTAAATGAATGTCGTCTTATATACATTACTCTATATATACAGGGTGTCTTAAAAAGAACTGTGCAGTAGGGGTATTAGTAACTGAAGAAACAATTATAATTCAATTTTTACGATCAAGGTGTCATTCGAAAGCTCTATATTTCAGTTATTTCATGAAGTGAAATTTTTCTTTCTAGGCCTCATTCTTTTTTTGTTACAACCAATTATTTGAGCGTAAGTCGAAAATCGATTTCCCGGATTTTCAATTTTTCGATTTTTCACGTCTCATTTTCATTCGTTCATAAAGTATGGAAAAAATTAAAGATTTTCGAAATTTTTTTTTAAAATCATAAGCTGTTAGTCTTAGGTTTCATTTTTAACTAAAATTTTGGATCAGCAATAATTACTTTTGAAGTTAGAGCAATCTAAAAAAAATATGCATTGAAAAAAAAACGAAAATAGAGCTACAAGTACCTCCGTACGAACCTTGCCCGGACCACAAAAATAATTTTTTTAAAAATTTTCTTTTTGAAATCCACTTGGAGGTCAAAATGGGCAGTTGTGACCTCGGGAGTCAAATTTTCGAAAAAAAAGATTGAAAATGGATTTACCATGGGCGTTTACCCCTGTTTAGACACCCATGACGATGTTTGTGTGCTATTAATATAATTTGACCTCCTAAAATGACCCCTTAGAAATCAAATTTGCGGATAATGACCTCGGTGGTAAATTTTTTCAAAAACCAATATCATTGTTGAAACATGCGCATATGCTTTTACCTATAAAACGATACCTTGGATGGCTTGTGCTCTCTAAGACATAAGTTTACATTTGAAAATGCGTTCTTTTTTTGCGTGAACAGTCCCTTAGAAGGCCCCTGAAAAAAAACTTACAACATTTTTGGCCTATTTAACTACCTAATACCTTGAACCTATCATATAAATGGACTAATAACAAATGAAAGCGTGAACATCATTTCTAAAGTAAAAATATTATTAATTAAAGTGATGACTTTTTAAAAGTTTTTTTTTTGTAATTTCAGATTCAGAAAAAATGTTTTATTTTTGTACCCTGGTGGGTTAGATAAAAAAATTTGATTGAAATAGCGGGCTGTGGATTGTACCAACTGATTTCAAAAAGAAAATTTAAAAAAAAATTATTTTTGTGGTCTGGGCAAGGTTCGTAGGAGGTACCCGTAGCTCTATTTTCGTTTTTTTCAATGCATATTTTTTTTTAGATTGCTCTAGCTTCAAAAGAAATAATTGCTGATCCAAAATTTTAGTTAAAAATGAAACCTAAGAAAGAAAAAAAAGAAGTGGCCTGAGATCGTAGCTATCGTGTAGATATTGGTTATCTTGAACGCTTGATCTCGATATCCAATGTGGGAACTTTATAATTTGAGGATAATACTTGATGTCTTGATTGAAATTGTCCCTGCAGGGTATGACCATTACGGGAAATGGAAGAACAATTCAATTAATTTGTAGATCTCATTAATCCTGAGATTCAGAGCAAACAAGTTCTGACTTCAGAACATTGTAGGAAATATGTCCGTTGCAACTTTCAAACATAATCAACTCCTTTGCCAACATTTATGCCACACTTCTCATTGTAGTGATATCTTATCACATGTACATGATAATTCTTGATGACCTACTACTCTTAACTAGTTTCTTTCTTTGCAAAATCAATTAATATACCATTGAAAGATTACATTTAAAACACTTTACCCCCAAATCGTTAAAGTAAGACGGCGTAAAGCTTATTGTAAGGAATAAGGGTATATAAAGTATAGGTATTGAACTATACTAAGTAGAAGGGAGGGTATTTAAAGTATAGGTATGGAACTATACTAATTAGGAGGAAGGGATATATAAAGTATAGGTATGGAACTATACTAAGTAGGAGGAAGGGTATATAAAGTATAGGTATGGAACTATACTAAGTAGGAGGAAGGGATATATAAAGTATAGGTATGGAACTATACTAAGTAGAAGGGAGGGTATATAAAGTATAGGTATAAAAATATACTAAGTAGAAGGGAGGGTATATAAAGTATAGGTAGGAACTATACTAAGTAGAAGAGCGGGTATATAAAGTAGGTATGAACTATACTAAGTATAAGGGTATGAACTATACTAAGTAGGAGGAAGGGTATATAAAGTAGGTAAGAAACTTCACTAAGTAGGATCGAGGAAGGGTATATAAAGTAGGTAAGAAACTTCACTAAGTAGGAGGAAGGGTATAAAGTAGGTAAGAAACTTCACTAAAAAGGAGGAAGGGTATATAAAGTAGGTAAGAAACTTCACTAAGTAGTAGGAGGAAGAGTATATAAAGTAGTGGTGTTGACACTGTACAGGATAAATCTATTAACTAAACAAATCAATAAAATACGACAAGCTGTAAATGAAAACATCAAACTGATATAAACAATATTTAAAGTAGAAGTGACCCCTGTGTTTATTAACAACTAACAGCTGAATATATCTAACTCTAGGCTGGGAGGAAAGTCAAAATATTGGCCCAAGTTCAGAATGTAAAATGCACTAGACATTAAAACACAAGAAAACAAAAGGGAAACACAAACAGATACAAATATACACTGCTACTACAAAAACGGAACTTGAAAACATATATTAAAACTTTAGCAAACTCGAAGTTGCAAGGCTAGAATTACAAAATTTTACTTAATGCTCCTAAAACAAGAGAACCAAGTTTTTTTTTCAACGTTTTCTTATCAAATTATAAAATATAATTCAGGAAAATAAGAAAGTGAGTTTAGGAACTAGAGAACAGGATTCAGGAACTATAGAGAACAGGGTTTAGAACCTAGAGAACAGGGTTCAGAAGCTAGAGAACATGGTTCAGGAACTGAGAACAAGGTTCAGGAATTAGAGATCAGGGTTTAGGAACTAGATAACAGGGTTCAGGAACTAGAGAACAGGGTTCAGGAACTAGAAGAAACGGTTCAGGAACTAGAGAACAGGGCTAGGGAACTAGAGAACAGGGTTCAGGAACTAGAAGACAGGGTTCAGGAACTAGAGAACGGGGGTTCAGGAACTAGAGAACATGGTTTAGGAACTAGTGAACAGGGTTTAGGAACTAGAGAACAGGGTTTAGGAACTAGTGAACAGAGTTTAGGGACTAGAGAACATTGCTCAGGAACTAGACAACAGGGCTCAGGAACTAGAGAACAGAGTTTAGGAACTAGAGAACATTGCTCAGGAACTAGACAACAAGGCTCAGGAACTAGACAACAGGGCTCAGGAACTAGAGAATAGAGTTTATGAACTAGAAAACATTGCTCAGGAACTAGAGAACATTGCTCAGGAACTAGACAACAGGGCTCAGGAACTAGACAACAGGGCTCAGGAACTAGAGAACAGAGTTTAGGAACTAGAGAACATTGCTCAGGAACTACAGAACATTGCTCAGGAACTAGACAACAGGGCTCAGGAACTAGAGAAAAGAGTTTAGGAACTAGAAAACATTGCTCAAGAACTAGACAACAGGGCTCAGGAACTAGAGAACAGAGTTTAGGAACTAGAAAACAGAGTTTAGGAACTAGAGAACAGGGATTTGTGATTGGTTGAGACTAATATAATTGTATGGATGGATGGATTAAAGATGCACCATATATTGGGGATTTTAATCATTACTTATTATTATTATTTTTAATTATTCTTACTAGAACATCGATATTCATATTTGGATTTATTTAGATATTAAATATTACCTTTCTGATATTTGTTTGCTGAGGTTTTTAATTAACCTTTTAGCAACCCTTTATTGACTACCATTTTCAACACAAAACAGTTCCTTATTATCATATTATAATTGCGTAAAAATCTATAGATATCTATAGATATATAAATATCTATTTTTAATCAAATACATTTATTATGCAATTGTATCTAAATGTTAGGCTTCCCTCGCCCCCTTTTTTAACTAATACAAATTTTAACAGTTTTATCCCATTTGCGAACATGTTTTTAGTCAAAACTAATATTGATGATAAAAATACGTTTTTTGGTATAAAATCAACGAACAAAAATATCCAAAATGTATACTGCAGATAACTTATATAAAATCAACACTTCGAAATATCTTAGTCTTTTATATATGTTCTTCTACAGTGATAACCAGAAAACTGTAGAATATGAAGACGACATTAAAGCAATAATAAATTGTATTTGATGTGTTTACAAAGGAAATACTTTTCTAGTAACTTATTATAAATCACTTATTAAGCCAATTAGGCCTTTTTACACCGCACAGTTGTGGTGTGTCATGTTCATTGCACTGTTCAAAGTCATAAATTGAGTCAAGAAGTTGTCTCCATATTCCAGAGTATTCTGGTTATCACTGTATTCGATCCCAACATGTAGATAATCTTATTCTCAATTTTGATACAAATAATTCGTTACTTCTAATAGTTACGTACAAAATACATTGTATAACCTATATAATAAACAAATAAGCTATTTCTCATAGCTAAAAACAAGTTAGCTATTTGTCCGTATCTAGCTGTTTATTTATCATAGCTAAAACAAATTAGCTATTTGTCCATATCTGGATGTTTATTTCAAAGTGTTTCCAACGGAGAAAGTATTAATTTTACAAAACAAAAGTCATGGAAAACATTCAAAATGTGGATTCTGCTGCATACGTATAAACAAATATAAATATATAAGCGAAGAGCTTCATTTTATAGAAATAATGGAAAAAAAGATCCAAGGAAGGAACGTTTTAAAGACTGTTGTTGATTTTCCAGTTTTCATCGGCGGATTTCCAACATTAAAACAAATCTAAATTATTTTAATTTTAGTTTTTTAATTCTGATCCGTCGTTTTGATATTTATTGGATGCAGTTGATTAGCAGTTAATTTAAAAGCTTTTCTTTTCTTTATTGAAATATAAGTGATGAAGAGGGATTCTTTAAAAATTGCAATCAATATACTATCTTTGCTCCTTGAATATATTTCTTTACAAAAGATGCCGATAAAGTAAAAATAACAGTCTAGGAAAGTAATTAGTGGAACAAAGTACATCTGTTAGGAGAAGCACAATTTTTTGTGTGAGCAGATTTTCCAGTTTTCATCGGCGGATTTGCAAAATTTTAACGTTTACAGAAAGCAAAGAAACACTAAAACTGACAAGCCGAATAGTATATTTAAATATTCATGCATATGATTTTTATATACTTCAAAATGACTATTTTTCAAAATTCTATTTTTTTATAAATCCACGGGCAACGTCGGGCACTTCAGCTAGTAGGTCTATATATGGATACAAGTAATTTAAGTAAAATATAGAAATATAAACCTGGAGAGTAGAGAGTAGAGGTCTGGGATGAATATTGACACTAATCATTGACATGTAATCTAATCTTTCTCTTCTAACCTACCCTTCTCAGATACTCAGATACCCTGATACCTAGGCCCATTAATCTTCATTCGGTTCATTCAACCACATAATCATAAACTTAATCATACAACCACATAATCATAAACTTGATCATATTATTACATAATCATAAACTTAATCATGCAACCACATAATCATAAACTTAATCATACAACCACATAATTATATACTTAATCATTCAACCACATAATCATAAACTTAATCATTCAACCACATAATCATAAACTTAATCATGCAACCACATAATCATTAACTTAATCATGCATGCAACCACATAATCATAAACTTAATCATACAGCTACATAATCATAAACTTAATAATACAACCACATAATCATAAACTTAATCATACAACCACATAATCATAAACTTAATCATACAACCTCATAATCATAAACTTAATCATAAATCTACATAATCATAAACTTAATCATACAGCTACATAATCATAAACTGAATCATACAGCTACATAATCATAAACTTAATCATGCAACCTCCTAATCATAAACTTAATCATAAAGCTACATAATCATAAACTTAATCATTGAACCACATAATCATAAACTTAATCATACAACCACATAATT